TCTTCTAGTCAGGGACCTTGCTCCCTGATAGGAACTAAGTCTTGTCCCTACATCCTTGATGGGATAGATCTCTCACCTGTTTGTGTTGGCAGCTGGCCTGTGTTCAGAAGATTTAGCAGATAGAAGAATAGCACTAATACTTATAAAATTGTGAAAGAGTAAGGAGAAAAAAAATCAGTAATCTGTTTTTGTCTATACTTGGTTTAAGCTGACTGTAAGGCACCCTGGAAAAAGATAGAGGCAAATTACATCACTGAATTTATTTGCAGGTATAAGAGTTTGCAAGATCAGACCCTGCAGCAAGACTTACTCACTCAGTACAGCACCCAAGTCTTTTTTTTTTTTTTCTAAGTCCATACTTCATGTATATAAATTCAATGGCCTGAATGTTTCTTCTTAGATATTAAACTTTTTTTTTAAGTTTATGGGCTTTATTTTATGTTGATCATTACGTATTTTCCTGTATACTTGCTTGTGATATCCTTTGAAATAATTACAATTTTAAAAAATAGTTTAAAAATTCTTTGAGCTGAAGACAGAATGGATGGAAGAAATGGATGTCATCCTGAGCTAAGTTGTTCTGAAACCCACTATTTGGTGTGTAAAAATTTGCACTAGGTGAAGATGCTTGTTGTCATTAACTGAAGTTGGTTGGTTTGGAGGGGTGGTGGTGTATGTGTCTGAGATATTACAGAAACTCTGTACCTATTCTGAACACCAGAAAAGGGGCAGGAAATCTAGCTTTTTGTATCTGCTGACTTGCATCTGCTGTCCCTGGTCTGTCCTAGACTTTGACTTAAACTTACATGCCAACGTTTGATTTTGAATCACTTCTAAATTAGAAATGGCGACCTACTCTGGAGCACACACTATGAACATGTACATTTGTTTTGGGGAAGGAAAACTGCATGGTTAACAGTAGGTTTAGAATAAAAGGTTGCCTTTTTGTTTACAACCGATCAGGAATTTGGATTTGGTGGTGAATAATTTTAAGTGAAGAAATATGACTGCTAAAAAGCAGTGTAATAATATGTCTGTAGAGCACTTTGAAGATGAAAAGCTCTATATACTGTAAACATTATTACTAGTATAGCTTAATCTGTGTGGAATAATTAATCTAGCATAAGCAAAATGTAGATTTTTAAATGTACAATATAGTATGTCAGAAAGTCTAATGCACCTATGTATTTATTTTCACATTGTAACATAAGAAATTCATCCTCTTATTTTTTTAGTATCTGTGTGTTGCAATGGTTTACTTTGTTGTTACTTTCCAAACATAGAGGCAGTCCTAATCCTGAACAACCTGTCAGAAGTGTGAAATGTCTAGGCTGGGAGGAAAAATAGGTGGGTTTTTTTTAAAGGTGATATAAAAATACTGTGCGATGAGAAGTAGGTGCCCGTCAGATACGGAAATGTTTGGGGGGCAACTGGCCTTCTTAAGCATGTTCTGTGGCTTTGGAGAAGACTTGACTGAATTTAGTTAGAGCCATGCAGGTGCCAGATTGCACTGGGAAGTGAACACCTGCCAGGCTGCTCCAGATAACTCAGCAGCTCAGAGGCATTTTCCCAGGCTCCCAGATGAATGGACCGTAATAGCCGTGGGAGAGGGCTTCCCACTGCTCCACGCTGTACCACAGCCTCTTCTTGGCAGCCTTCTGGAAGTGCAAGGCAGCTTGGCTGTGACTGCTTTGGAAAACAAGTGTTGCTGGATAGTCTTACAGTAAAGAGTCAGTGTCTGATACTTCCCCTCGGTGTCGTGGGACTATGAAATATAGCAAGCAGGGCAAATTACCCTTCCCTTAAAAGACAGCACTCACTGGTGTGTATTTCAGCTGAAACTAGACTGTGTTTTTTCTAGAAATACTTTTATTCTGTCACATTTTGAGTTTCAGGGTTTGGGGTGGAGGTTTTTTTTGTTTGGTTTTTCTTTTTTTTTTTTTTTTTTCTTGTTTGTTTTTGTAACCTGGATCTGGTGATTTAGGTGCACAGTATTGAAGTAAGAAAAACAAAACCCCAAATGACTAACAATAATTTTATTTCTGCTTCTTTGTTGGTAATCTACAAATGGAGCTTTGTCTACACTGCATGGTGAAGAGGAAATTGAAGATTGAGCCAAGTGGGTTTGTTGAGCCTAAGATCAGTGAAATTTCTCTCTATATTAGTGGCTGCAAAACAGTGTTTGCAGCTCGAGGTTAAAACTTCTGTGGTGTGCTTAAAAGGAGTTAATGCTGGATCATTTGGTACATATCACTTGGTCTGGCCTTCCAGATATTGTGAACAGCAGCTGTTGGTCCTTGCTGAGGATACACTGGCCATCTTCCCTGGAGCGTAATCCACAGCTTGCCCAAAGCCAACATTAGTATATGCTAGTATATAAACAGTGCTGATGGTGGACAAGTCTGGAATTGAGAACAGACTTAGACTCATGCTGAGTAACTGTGTAGAAAGTTTAAAAAGCTGCAAGGGGCATGAGGTTGTCAGATAAGGTTTTCTTGTGGGGCTTATTTTTTAGTTTCCGATTTCATGAAGCAGGATGGTTAATTGGATAATATATTTCTCTCGAAGGAAGCAGAAAGAGGATATCACAGTTTTTATAGTTCTGCAGTAACTGGCAACTTTAAAACTAGGGAAGTCTTGCAAACTCCAGCTGACTGTGGATTAGATCAGATGTCACATACGAGAGGGTTTAAAAACATTTGATGAGCATAGCTGTGTGATGCTTTCAAAATATCAGTATCTTGAATGTAATGCATCTCAAAATTTTTCCACAGTTAGCAATAAGTAACAGCAAATCATCTGTTCAGGCTTGCTCAGGCTTTTTCAGCCAAGTCAAGTAGTAAATAGTCATGGAAACTAAATTTCTTTTCTATTGCTAGTCCCTCTGGGCTGAGCTTGTTAGCTTAGGTGCAACTGAAAAAAACAAGTTGCTGTGAAGGCCTTATAAGATTTTTTTAGACTTGAGCTGACACTGCAAAAATAGTGTAGAAGTGTCTTGATCTCTTAATTATTTATTTTTTTAGATTTGAGGTAGGTATTCTCTTCCAGAGAACAGTAACTAGCTGAATTAAGGGCCTTTAGGAGGAGTTTGAAACTTTGTTCAGGCCATTAGTCAATCAAATATGATTAAACACTTAACCTCTTGGAGAATACCAGGCTAGCAAAAAAAATAAACAGATGTACATGTCACGGATTCATAAAAGAATTTCAGGAATGAAGTATCATGCTCTTCTCTGTGAAAAGCAAAAGATTCATACTTCCTCATTTTAAGATCTTCTCAAGAAAAATATATTTGGAATATTCCAGTCACAGGGAGGTAGAAAGACTCCTTTAATAATATTTACTCTCTGGTTGAAGGTTTGTTTGCAAAGTTGTACTTTTATGAATGTTACTTTCTCAGTGTTACGGAGCTTACAGTGGAAGACGCTGTTATCACACTAATAACTTATTTCTATACAGGGAAAATTCCTTGATTTGGCTAACCTTACTAACAGTGCTGAAGAATTGTGAATGCCAAACTGGAAATAGCTGAAAGTAATTTTCCTTAATTGTGCTCGTAAATATACAGTTAATAAAGCTGGTGGATTACATCCAAATTTTTCTCTAGAGCTCATCATTTTTAAGGGATGGTTCAACTTGTCACATCTTGACTTGATCTCTAAAGGGAAGTCAAATTTTAGGTATCTTCCTGAGGGGAAGGAAGAAAGATGACTGATAAATTTCAAAGGGATTGATTGTGATCAATAACTATACTTCTTAATGAGAGGTGATGCTGAACAGCACTTGATGGTGAGTTGCTTGGAGATCTTGTACAAGTAGGAGACTTGTAGACTATGTAGACATGTGCAGAGGAGGACATGCATTTTGGGGCTTACGCTTAGAAATAAGGTAGGCCTTGGCATTTGCTCAGTAGAGATTGAGACTGGAACAAGCAAGCTTGCCTTAATTCTTTTTAAATTGTTAGATTATAAGAACAGCAGTAGCGCTTGATTTTTCTAATTTTTCTGTGGTAATTGCACCTAGGGTATCTGACTGTCTTGGAAGCAGGAATAATTTCAGTCTTGCAAAACGCATCAGAGTTAGGGGAAGTACCCTCTTTTGCATGTTCATTTTAGTGAGGTGTACAGAGAGACTACGGAGGAGGAGTCACAGATGCTAACTTCTTTCAATTTCAGTGGGAGTTAGGTTGCTAAATACCTTTATGAATCAAGTCCTAACTGATTAACTCAAGGTCATTTGGGAATTTAAGTAGAACAAAAGTAAAAACTCATTTCTTTAGCTGTAGTCTAATAGTCTCTTTGCTGTAATATATAATCCCTTCTGTTCTTTTCTTACCCTCCTGGTGCACAAGGATTTCTGTCGTTCTCAGGAATAGAAACTGAAGAAGCCTCTCTGTGTATTACAGGTATCTGCTGGGTCAGCCAGGCTAGCTCTGTCTACTTGTAGATATTGAGGAATTTACATGTATGCATTTCTAACTTAATTCAATGAAATTGCAGATAATTAAGACCTTTCTTAATTTGGTTTGTGGTAGGTTTTTTTTTAAGCCAGTGGTTTTTCTATCAACTTCGAGCATGTCGCCTTTCTCTAGAAGGCAGTTAAGTATCTGGTCATCGGTAGTGTTCTTGTAGAAATATGTATGAAAACATCATAGTGATCAGGACTCTAGCCTGTTGGACTAGTGACCGTGACACTAGGCTATTAAACGGATGACATCTCTCATCAATTAATTGATTTAACTTTATTTCTGTGGTTAGCTACCAGAACTTGGTGGTTAGTAATTTGTTTAGATTTTTCTCCTGTTTCAGATACTAATTTCTTGACACTTCAGTATGAGCAGTTTCTTTTTAAAAATATTCCTTTAAAGTTACATTTTCTTTTGTATTCTTGAACTGCTGCTGCTTTCTCTCAATCCTGTCTTCACAGATGTGCAACACTTTGAGACCTGAATGCCCAAGATACCCTTACACTCATCGTTATCCCTTTGTTTTATGTTGCAGCCAACAGTTTTCATGTTACTGCCTACTTTATGAAGAGATGGGTTAATCTCCGTTGTG